AAGATGACATAACCTTCGAAATTTTTTGTAATAATCAAATGTACGATATAATTATATAATAACTTATTACGTAAAAAAAACAAAAGAGTGACAATAACCACTGTTTGTTTCTTTAATGATTGATAGCACCAGGACTCACGAAAGTAGGGGGATGCGCACCTCACCTCAATCTCCCCAATAACGGGAAATCATTCAGTATTACCCAGTAAGACGAGTTAGATTTTTACAAATTTTATACTACCGCTGTGACACATTTTCTTATAGAACTTCCTTACACCCCCAATGTTGGCACCCTCGCATGGGGCGGGTGTGGGTGTGTGGGTGTGGATGTGGATGTGACTGGAAGAAACATTCTCACACACCCAGCCACACCCACACTCACACCCACATCCACACCCACACTCACACCTTCACCCACACCCACATCCACACCGCACACCCCCACACCCACATCCATAAATTTCACTTGGTTAGAAATAGCTTCGCTATATCCAGGTGCGTCGTACACATCGTGTCGACGCTAAATATTTCGATGATTAATATATCATTCAGAGAATAAATGATGTGTTAGTCGTGCTTCGATAGCCCAATGGTTAGAGCACTAGTCCGGATAGCCAGTAATCACATCGTGGGTTCGATTCCCGAACGAAGTATATCATTTATTTTTCTGAATGATATTAATCATCGAAAGTCAAAGGAAGTAAAATTCAGTATTGTATAGTTACATATACTCCTTTTCTATTCTTTAACAATTGAATAGCATGTTATGAATACTGGCCTTATCCACATTCACATGGTTTGTTCTGTTCTGTCTGTTAGGTAGTTTTCTTTCTAGAACTTTTTTGATGTTTTTACTGTTGTTACTTCTCATTTTGACTTTTTCTGTCCGTTCTTGCAGGACACCCATTTTGTTTTCTTACCTTTCTTTTTTATGCGTATTAAGAAAAAGAAAGAAATTAAACGCAATAAAGTTCTCACGCTTTTTTCTTTTTTTTTCTGTACTCCATGCAGAGAACGACGGAACAATGTCTTTTAATTTTTTGTTTGATTCACAAGTGGGGTGACACTAGCAAACAGCAATTTTTTTTTTTGAATTACATTAAAAAATATATTCTTAGCTGAAAGTAAGATACTAAGACTTAAATGTACTTGTGTGCTATCGCTCAAAATTTGAAAAGCAAATATCTGAATTCTTTTGTTTCATGGAGTCTGTTTCTGACGTAATGGAGACAAAAATGGTAGAAAAAAACAATTTCAAATATAACTGGAAAAAGAAGAAGCAATTATTTTTAACTGTGAAGAGCTCTATAAAAGCGTCAGTTGATACTTAGGCAACTTTTAATATACATGGGCGTCAGCTTTCTTTCCATTTTAGGTAAATATATTTCATGGATCAAGTTACCGTTATCGAGGATATTATAAGCACGAAAAATACTCTGACAATTCTCCACCAAGTTTTCGTCGTAAATCAAATCTTACTTCAACCATTTTCAGTTATCTTCGATTCAATTACAGAACTGATCGATATTTTAACTCATGCATCTGCCGAACAAATTGAAATTGGTTTACAATCAAATGAATCCAAGTCTGTTTTCAGCGAACTTAGAGACACACTTAATGAATTAAGTGATGCTATTACAACTAAGAATACTTCGATAATCAATAGTTTGAATGAACAGCTTAGGTCTTCTGTTCAGAAACTTCGAATATGTTTATCTTATACAACTAACCATGAAGAAACGGCAGATGACATATTCAAGAAGAAACTTTTACAGTCACATATCGATACGATCGTTAGATCTCAGTATGACTATTTAGAAGCTTGTTCTCCGAAACCTATTTCTCATTTCGAACATGGCATTGTGGCAAAAGCTCCTATTCGTTCCAAACCCAAAGAGAAACAAGAAAATACATCTAATAACGATCCATTTGCACAGTTTCGTTTCGCGCGTCGGCGACGTGTTTCCACTTCTGATGAAGATGTAGATACCGCTGCATCTGATTCGCCTCGAACAACTTCATCACCTCCACGATCGCCCTCTATTTCCAAATCAGTCGATGAATCGGTATTTCCTGGCCCTACTAAAGTATTTCGAGAAAAGTCTCGACTAATGATTAGTTATAACCATGCTTCCAAACCAATTTGCACTGACATTTACAATAGCTTGACAAGTGATGGCTACGACGTATGGATCGACTTAAAACACATGCATGGAAGTACTCTAGTTGCAATGGCACAAGCTATTGAAGATTCAGATATAATTCTCTTCTGTGTAACCGAAAAGTATAGTCAATCACTTAATTGTCAAAAAGAAGCTGAATATGCATTTGTTCGACAAAAGATTATGATTCCACTACTTTTACAGTCGAATTATAAACCGACAGGTTGGTTGGGACTTCTCATGGGTACCAGTTTATATATTGACTTTACGAAGAATGACTTTACTCAGAATTATTCGAAGCTGAAAAGTGAAATTGAAGCGAATGAACTGCGTAAAACTAGCAATAAAAATGACGTTCCGAGGTTAACATTAGATGCAACTACGAATAATGAAAAAACTCACAAACAAACGGGTAGTTCTCGACCGCAATTAGAAAAGGCAAAGACAGAGTTGACTGTAAGAAAGTCACGGAGTTGTGTTCTCTTTTAATTAGAATGCTTGTTTTTCTCGCCTACCGAAATTAAACCTATCGAATGTAGGCGTTTAATATACAAATCAAAAGAAACTTGATTTTTTTGGTATAAAGTGTTTTGTTGGGTGTTTTTTTGTGATTTATTGTGCTCCATGGGCCAAATTTGAATAAAAAATCGTTTTTTTTTATATGCATGTGTTATTCTAACACACCCAAAACTTCCAATTCATTAGTTACTCCTCAAATTAAGTTAGAAGTTTTGAAACAGAGAACAAAAGTTTATTTCTGCGACAAGTCAACATGAGAAGTAGTACTATTCATTTTCCTTCTCTACAAGAAAGGCAAGTTGTATAGTGTTATCATCGATAAATATTAAAAGTTTTCATCTATGTATATTATCTTTTATCCATGGAGATTCTGTCAGACATTTGATTGACATTTTTAAATTGATTTTCTTATTGTTTTTTTATTAAATCTCTGTTATTCTTCAAGTTTTTTGATCTTAAGGATTTCTTTACTCTCTTTTGTTATATTAGTTTTTGACCTGACATTGGTTTTTGTACTTCTTGACCTATTTCTATAGCTACTTTATGATTACCAGTGAATTTCAGTCGGTCCAGATGAATGGATGCAACATTTGAGCAGAACAGCCGACAAAATCTTAGAGAAATTTGGATCAAGGAATCACTCGTGGATTCAACAATTGAATCTTATTTAAATAATTGAACATAAGTTTCTATCCTATGCTAATATTAGGGTGTGAATGTGAATGAACAGAATATCCACACCCACATCCTTACGAAATATTATCTCTCGATTAAATATGGACTTTTCCTTTCCTTTCTTCTTTTTAGTCCTCGATGCTTGCATTAACGAAGTGAGAGAGGAGCAGACCCAGTTAGTTGAAGAAACGTTTTTTTGCCGTTAAAACGATGTTTAATGTCACATCGTTTAAACGACGATATATTGACCAAATTACTCGTTTATCGCAAAAAACGATTTTCTATGTCAAAAAAAAGAATCGCGTTCTAGTCGTTTAAACGCTGGATTATAAGTGTGTTAAACAGTGATTTATTGACGATTAAACGTATGAATTTTCGTCATTTGATCTATTATAAACGATTCTTATTTAAAAAAAAATACTCCTCTATATTCAACAATAATCACCGTTCATATCATTATCACTGTTTTCAATTGAACGAAATCTTTCGTTTATCTAATGATATCATCATATTCATCTGTGATAACCGGATATTTTGTTTACAAAGTTATCATTTTACTTGTTACCTGATTGCAAATTTAATTTCATTGGTCTAATTATGAACAATAGAAGTTCATTTTTTGTCGAAATTTCATCGAGTTCCAATGAGTAATTTTCATTTTGTTTGCGAAAGTACCCAGGTCTATCAAAACGGTGTCGTTTACGATCCGATAACGGACCGAAAACTTTGTAAAAACGGGGCATTTACGGAGATATACGGATTCAATTCGTTCCGTTTTCGGTCCATATTGAACCGTATTATCTGGCGCACAAATTCGAACTGTATTGTATCCGTATTGTAAACTGACCGTATTTGACCGTTTTCTAAAACTTTACGGGTGGAATACCGCCATGTGTATTCCACCGTATTCTCAACGTTAACGACCGTTAATACACCTAATTGTACTCGTTTACGACTGTTTTATTACGATCCTTCGAGCATTGATTTTATTACTAAATGCAACCTTCTGTTTATGTTCTCATTTACAGCTCCAAAAAATTAATCCATTCAAAAATAAACTTTTAGAAATTTAAATTTATCATAAACGTAAATATAAAAAAATTAATTAATTAAAATTTTATGAAATTTAAGTTCAAAACAAATTTTGATTTTAAAAGATTTAATGTCGAAATGATATTAAGTTCGGAATATTTAAATTTACAATAAATATTGAAATAAAAAATGGAGTATAAAATAAATTTTCATTTTAAAAGTGGAATAGGGTGTGGGTGTGGATAAAGAGGAGACGCACCTGCCCACACCCACCCCACCCCTGCCTCCACCCCACACCCACACACAGAAAAACCAAAACAATGATCATTGTTTCATCACTGTTTTATATAGGCAAAGATTAAATTGGATTTTTTTTCTTGTTACACCTATGTATCTTTTCGAGAACGATAATAAAGAAGAATATTATCACTTAAGAATCACGAAAAAAGAAGGGAAAAAAAGAAGCTGACATTCGACTGCAAAGAAAACTGTAAGCAAAATACGAATATTATAAGAAATTTCTAAATCGAAACATTCATATAAATAAAACGAAAGCGAGAATAATGTTTAATTTAAAAATACTTTTTAATTTTTTTAAATTTTTCTCTTTTCTTAAACAGGTACACTGTCAATCATAACTTTTGATACAAAATTAACAATAGCTGTCGATGGTTGTGATAGATCGATTTCAGCAAATATATGACACTCACTCTTTGATTGTGAAAATGTTGCATCATTATTTATTTTTGAAACAAAACCAAAACATCTAAAGAGAAAAGAGAACAAATTTTCAATTCAACAAACAAAGTGCTCAATAATATTCATACTTTGCTCGTGGTAACATTTCAAGATCATCATATTGATATGTCCAAAAACGATCAGTTTCATCATCAATACCACAATATGTCACATTTTCTTTTGGAAAATGACGTCGTGAAAACAATCTAAATAAAAAATAATTATTACAAACATTTCTACTATCTTCTGTTCATCAGGATATGAAGAAATCTAAAACCTACTATAAATTTCTCATCTAAAATAAAACCAATCATTGAAGAAAATCACATTGTCATACATATAAAAGTTTTAGTATTACGATCCGCAAACATAGGAATAGTTAAAAGTTGATCCGTACAGGTGAGCAAATGATGGTAATGTTCAATTTAACTTTCTAGTAATAGAAAATCGACTACTAATGAATTTTTGCTCAAAAAGTACGTAGAACTATTTCCAAATTCGCCATATTCTTAAGATCTAACTTCATATCACTTCGTTTTGTTCTTCAAACACAGAATTATTACGTAAAATTCAATGCTGTGTAATAGACACTCTTATAAAATACGATTTCAATGATTGATTCATTTGGGCATGCACAGAATCCGAACCGAAGCTGTGATATGAAGTTGGGAAACTAGCCAATCAGTTCAGACTGCTTCAAGCAATTAAGTAATTACTCGAGCGTTTCTTTAGGTATATGAACGATCATGAAATTACTCTAAAGTTTGGATATTTCTGAATGTCGTTGATGTCTTTTTTAGGTTATCCGCAGCTCGTAGTTTTTGGATTATTAATTAACTGAAAATGACTGCTGTCAAATCGGTCCCGAACATTCGGTTTCGATGGACATCTAAATTATCTGAAAATTTAACGAATAAACTTATGTAATTAATACAAAAACGATTTACTAATTAGTTTAAATCTTAAATGAACACATACTTTTTCTTTTTATCAGTTAATGTAATACCAGCGGATGTTACTTTAAAATGAACAATTGTGGCTTGTAAACGTTCAGGATTATCAAATGTGCTACGTAATGCTTTAGCTACTGCCATTTGATCAGATAATGATTCAATATCAACATTATTCAAATATAAAACATCACAAGCTATAAATACAATAAAAAAAAGTATTGTCTTTATTCATATTCTTCATCTTACCAGCTCCTTTTTCAAGTAAATCTTTAGCAGACACTTTCTTTGTTTCTTGTTGTTGATTTGTTATAGAATGATAATCTTCAGTAATATCATGAGTAGGTAAAACAAGTTTTATTGGCAACACAAGTGGCGTAACTGTATGTTGATATACTAATGCTGATAGATTAGCTAAAACGAGAAAGACAGTCATTAGATTTTTTTATTACTTTCAAGACTTGGTTAATATTCTTGCTGTTAGTTTAAGCTGCTCTTAACTAGATATTATAGATAAGATTAATACTGGCACTACTTAAAGTATTAATTGAGAACGTTAATATTGGTTCATGGTGTTTCAAAGCTTTGTTTTTTGATTAATTCTTTGCGTAACAAAGGAAATATTAAATGCTTGATTGTCACACATCTTTATTTAAATTACCCATGAAGATAATAAATCGGTTTTTTTTATTCATACTAGAATAGTATTTTTTAAAACATACCAAAATCAGGTTCATCAGGACATCCTTTTAATCGCATATGTCCAGTTGGTGTTCGTTCAATAAGATAATGTCGAACAAGTACAGCATTTGGATCAGCACCTGAATAATATATTCTCATATTTGTTTTGTTTTCATTCAATTCAAATATCATACCTGCTTTCGGTTGAATATCCGGTGGTAATGTTTCCACTTTAACAGCAAGATCATATGAACCTGGAAAACCTTGACTCTCACGAATAAGAAATGTACCAGGTGGTTTTGTCTTAAGTAAATTAATAGCTATTGCAAAAAAAAGAATAAAACAAAAATTCGATTTATTCAAAAGAAAAGAAATATATGTCAATATACCATCTTCACGTGATAGTTTTTCTTTGTACCAAAATTGACTAACATTTTGTGCTTGATAAGCACCATTACAAAGTTCATCAGATTCTAAATAAACCAAATAAAAAAAATTCAAATAATTTAATATGAGACAGAAAAGTTTTAGCTTAAGTTAATTACTTTTTTTGTTACTAGATATGTCAATATAAACATACAATTTGTTATTTGAAAAAAGACAACATAAGCAATAGAACGTCTACAACGTTAGAAGTAACGGGTGACCCAAAATAAATGGCTACACTTGGTGTTTTATTTTTTTATTTCTAAACACGTTGTATTAAAAACAAAACATACCATAAGATGCAACGCGAAAAGTTCTACAATCTTCAAAGCAAAGCTGATGTTAATTGTGGACTTTTTGTTTTCAAAAAAAGTAAAATTCTGTGTGATCAATTGTCGACGTTGCGAAAAGTAGTCACACAGAATTGTGCTTTTCTTAAAAACAAAAAGTACACAATTAAAACAAACTTTGTAGATTGTAGAGCTTCTTACATTGCATCTTGTGGTATGTTTTATTTTCTAATACAAGATGTTTAGAGATAAAAAATAAAACGCGAAGTGCAGTCATTTATTCTGAGACACCCGTTATCATTCATGCACTCATAGAGTGGAAAAGATAATAGTATTTGGAAATTCTATATATGTATACTGTAGGAAGTTTTATTTTATTATTAAAAATCGAAATATTAATTCTTCTGAAAACAAATTTCCAAAATAAATTAAGACAGAATATGCAGGTTTTTCTCATTGATTCTAATGGTTATACGCTTGTTTTTAGTACACTATAAAAAAATATTTTTTTACGAAACTGTCAAAGTTTGTTTCTCTGAATTCACGGAAAGAATCTTTACTATCCACGCACACAAGAAGCACCAAAAAGAGCATGAACATACCTTCACATACATTTTGAATGAGTTTCGCTTGAAATAAACGTTCAAATTCTCTTTTATCTTATGGAAAAATGTCAATCTTGGCATTTAAACGCTGATAGCTTTTAGATATATCTCATTTAAGCCAGACTGTTAGAAACACTCTTATTTTTCGCAAAAAGACGCCATCACATCGTGCCGTATCGGCAGAACTTCGGAGAAAATTGATGCTGATACATATATCAATTTGAATGGATGTGTAACTATGTCAAAAAAGTAGATTTTATGCAGCTTTTTTGAAAGGTAGAAGTGTTAAAATGATGTCTTAGTGTAAATTTTTCTATGTATAAAGATGAATGTAGGAGAATTTTTCAAGAAAAACTGTATGCAAGATAATCGTTAAGCATCTTTAATTAGAGTGAACAACAAAATGAAATTAGAATGAAAACAAAAAAAGACATCAGTTCACTTAAACATAACTCGGCTATTCTTATGCTTTCTCAAGAAAACCTCAGTGACTTGTTCAAAATATACATCAATATCAAGTTCAACAGCTAACACGGATAAATTACTCAAATATGTTTTATCCTACTGTTCCTTATTGTGGTTTTAATTATTTTCATTTTTAGGAAAAGAACGTTTATATATGTCTGAGGACACCGAATGATTATTAAGAGTGATACTTTCCTTTCCTTTCCTAAGGAAAATTTCTTTTGACTTTTTCAACTTTCCTTTCCGAAAATAAAGCAAAGGAAATTTATGAATCAAGCTTCAGTCTATTTTAAACTAGTGTAGATAATTGAGAAAAATTAAGCTTTAACATATATTGCTGACATGAAGGCATTACTGGTAATTTTTTTACATCTCATCGTTATCAATGATTTTTTGTGAAAATGAAAATTAACTTTTATTTTCAAGATTTCTTATTTCACATTACAACAACGAAAGATAAACAAAATATATACATATCATATTAAATAGTCGATAAATTAAATTTAATATTAGTTTTTGTTTTTTTTCTCGCAACTTTTGATTATTCAGGTTGCTTGTTGAGAGACATGGAAAAACGAAGTAGTTTTAGAGATAAATGACAATAAATTTTTCCTCTTAAGAAAATATATCTTTCTAACTCATTCTTTTTATATATATGCTCTGGAAAGTGAATCGAGTTTCGACTTCAAAGAAGGATCAAGGCTTTCCTTCCTCAATAAATCAGAATGAAAAAGGTTTTGAGTAATTGTGCGAGAAATAAGTACCACAAAAAGGTGAATATGAGCGATTAAAGAATGTTTGGAAAAAGGCAAAGAAACCCAGTAAAAGAGAAAGGATCTGAAGTAAGAGAAAGAGAAAGAGGAAAGAGAAGAAATAGAGAGTCATTATAGTTAACGCTATTTAAATAAATGTTCTGTGACACTGAAATCAGTAGCACAAATTCTGCAAACAGTCGAACACTAAAATATTTGGATTTTTCTTTGCTTTCTTTTCAGGAAGAAAAGGGGAAAGTGAAAGTACCAGTCCTAATTACTAATGTCTGTCAAAGATCTGTTCTTTCAGTTTGCCTAGCCTTGACAATATTCACAGGGATCGTAAGACAATTTAGTTTCTTATACTGAGAACATGATTCTGTGAACAATTGGGCGATTACTGTGAACTTCATTAAGATCAGACTAAATGCATGAATAAATTTGATCTCTCTCAATTTTTATCATGTCTTGACTTTAGAATCATTGAGTATAGTACTGTCTAGATTTTCACTTGTCATAATAGCTGCGATTCTGAAAATTTCAGAAAACGTTTGATTATTATAGAGCATTCTGTATAGGAATTTTCGAAGCGAACAGGTGAGACTAGTTTGAGCTGCAAATCACTTAATGAAAGATGTATAATTTCACAGATCAGTGGATTTCTCAAGAATGATTTGTAACTACGAAAAACCAGCCCATGTGAAATGAAAATTTTACTAAAAAAAGGAGAAACACTAGGATTTTAAACAATGGGTAGAGCTATTTGATCTCTTGTTTACTTCCATACAACATCACATTTAAGAGAGGATTTCTGATAGGGCAGTGAGAATACTCAGGTATTTCATAAGTTTTATTTTTATTTTACATTAGTTTCAACTGAGCAATGTTTCATTTGAAATTTTGCATGGAAAACGTGATTTTTCGGCTCTTAGCAGTGCCGAATAGGAGAAATCAACACTATTGAGTATTATAGCCCTTCCAATTCTCTACAGAATTCTATTAAAAGTATACTATTAATTGTCAATTTACTCCTTTTTGTTGTTCCCAATTTAAAATCAAATAGATATTCAGAATCAGCGCCAAAAAATGTATCGAATCAAGTGTTTTTTAGAAAGATCTTTTTCTCATGAAAAATACACTAGGGATTCCACAGCTATGTTTTTTCTAAAATTTGACCTCCGATCCCTCAAAGGCGAGGTTTTTATAGGAAAAAAAATCTTCTCAAAACATATTTGATTCGATGCAATTTTTGACAGGGTTTTGCAGAGAATTGAAAGGTTTAAAAGACTCAATAACTTTAATTCTTTCCTTCACTCGACACCGCTAAAGTCCGAGAAAACACGTTGCACATGCAAAACTTCCATTTTCAATAATCTAAAAAAATGTTTATCTGAATTTGTTTCAATATGAAAATGTGAGATATTATAAATCATATAAATAATCGATTCTGTTCAATTTTTTGCGTGCTTTCAAATAAGGCGCCGCTCAGTTGAAGATATCTAAGTGTCCTCATCCTCATTATTGACTTTTACCCATCTCTCAGTAAAATGCCAATATCTCAGCAACAAATAGACCTATATATCTCATTTTTTTTTCATAACGATAATTTTTCACAGGGAATCGAATGATATGACCTTCAAAGAAAACAAAGAATTATCATGTGATAGCATTGTTCAATTCTATCAAAAATCTTCTCTTAAAAAAAACCATATTATTGCTCTTCTGTCTCAACCGTATCTAAGACGATAGAACTGAGATTGATGCTTGCAATCAGGATTCATAGATCTCTAGTTATGATAAGAATTTGAAGACAAACTATTCGTTTTAAGATACTTTTTACCTGATGGCAGTGCTCTTGTCCACGACTGTACAGTGAAGAAAATGCGCTTTAACAAGTGAACCCTTGGCAAGTACTTGCTGAGCATTCAAGTTTTGAAGTGGTTGAAATCAGTACATACATTAGAATACATTGATTTTACACTCAGTTAGTACTGTTTTCAATGTTAATTTCAAATGTTGAGAAAGAGGAATACCAAAGGGTTGAGCCCATTTTCTACAAATATTCCAGCATTGGACAACTACTGGATACACTAAGACTATTGGAAAATTCCAAACAGGACAAAATACAATTGAATCGCCGGTCATATTTGGTTACAGAATTCGATCCGCAATAGTGGTGTCAAGATTGAAAACGTTAAAGGGATAGATTCAATACCTATGTGGAGATCAAAGTTCATGTGAAAAGAGTGATAATAAATGGTGATCGCCACAAAATATTAAATAGAGACGAAGTATACATATCCGTGTATGTCAGTGATGAGCGTGGCAGAATTGGAGGACTGATCGTCAAAAAAACTAACAACGAACATTAAAAGTGGAACGTTAATGGATATATTCTTCGATTATTATTGTGGTCAAAAAAGGGTTTCTTTATTTTAATTTTAATTCCAATTTTCGACTCAAGAATGATAGACGACATTCTTATTTTTGCCCATTTGTAGAACTGTATCGAAAAAGAAGTTTAATAAAAAAAAAAAAGATTCGTTTTCATCGATTTTCATCTGCATGAATTCGAACTATTGGTACGCAACTATAATGCACGTGTTCACTTTTGGCCTATGATTATCTTTGGCCGCATCCTATACCTACCATCCTGAACGTTATTGACAACAGTAGTATTTTGCATAAAACGACGAATAATCATACGGGAGCCAGATTTCATGAACCATACAAGAAAGATACATTTAGCAAACCAATAAAAAAGTAATGAATTGAATAAACTATGTCCAACATATTCAATACAGCTGATAGATGAATAAACAATCCAATAGATTATCAAATGTCTGTTATCATGTTTTTCTGAGGATTGGATAGCTGATAGTCTAAAAATATAATATTTTAGGTCAAGTTATGAAGACAATTTACATAAAAAATTTTTACTGATCTATAAATTTCTTTTTTCGGTTGGATCTTAGCACAAACGAAAAAGTATTTTAAAAAATTCTTTCCAAATGCTACATTTAGTGAGATCATGGGGTAGCAGAAGTTAAAAATTAAAACAAATGCGCAAGAACTTTTCTGTATAGTATGAAATTGTTGTGGTCGACTAATTAAATACATTGTTATTTAGGCAATAAATTGAAAAAATATGAGTATAGATGAAGATTAATCAAATTGTTTCAAATTTTTTACTATAATCAGAGGACACATCTGACAAGATAAATCGAAAGTTTCAGTTATTTTTATTAATATTCGGCCGAATCAGTCAATTGTTTACTTTTTATTTGTATTGTCTGAAATAGGAATGTTGATTTACATTTTACTTTTAATTTAATTTACGCGTAAATTAAATGATTAGTAATTTATATTTATTATAAATGTAAATTACTTATAATTTATATTTATTTTACATATAATTTTTTTATTTTTCGTAATTTATCGAATATAAATTAAAATAAATTATGATATTTCCGTATGATACTTTACATAAGAAATGTCCTAGTCTTAATATTATTTTTATGTATATAATTTATTTGTTGTACTATCTTTTCATTCAATTACTAGGTCCTAATTTGCGAAGAGATCTCACTACTTATGCTGATGAGTTTTTCAAAGAAGAGTCAAATCAGACTTTTCGGACTTAGAAAATAGAAAACGCCACAAAGTGTCAATGAAAAGTTTAAAACATTGTTTGTGAAGTACATACTTACTAGAAATTACTAATTATTTTTGATCAAATCTAGTTAGAGCTTGTTGATACAAAAGTAGTTTTTTTTCTACATGATAAAGTTTTATTTCAATCGAATCAAGAGACGAATCAATGATAAGTTCTGACTGTTTTCACAGCTTTACTTTAGAGATGATGGCAAACAAATTTTTCAGACAACCAGAAACTGATTTCAAATGATAATTAACGGTCTTCATTATTTTATCATGAAAAAAATTCTCATTATTGTCTATGTGAATTTTCGCGTTGGTAAATTAATTCGAAATACTAAGTAAACAGACAAGATGGATGTATAAACTGTCAGTTAATCTTATTAGTATGTTGGTAGCTTTTTGAACAGCAAAAATATTATAATTTTCCCATTTTATTGTCAAAATGGAAAACATATATTTTGGTGAAGAAGATATGCGCTGTTGATTAACTTCTATGATATGAATTTTCTATCTAATGTATATTTTCTTGCGAAATCAGCAATATACACCAGAGATGAGCGGAGCGGCTAAAAAGGTGCTCCACCATAACGTACTAGATTTTAATCTGCCCGCCATCGTGCGGCTTTGTACGGCACCGTCTGCCCACAACATATTTTTAGGGACCATGATCTTGTAGCCACCCCTAGTAAATACTTTTTTATTTCATGATATAACATTAGATAATTCCAGTGCATATAAATAAGGAGCATGGGTCTGGATATGAATGCGGGAGGGGTGTCCAAGGATTGAGAAACAGTAATTCCTCATCAGTTCCTCTGTAGTTCAATGAATATTAAAGCTAAAAATGTACAATATTCATGATACTATTTGCTCTGATACTCATTTTCACCCGTAAAATTGTGAAAGAAACCATTACGTGCATAGATCGTTTTAAAAGAAGCATTACCGCGGCTTTCATGAATCATGTGACTGTGAGGCAACCAATAGTCGATTTTAATTCTCCAGAGGAGTCACCACAGTGACACTAACTATTCCTCGACAGATTAATAATTCCTATTTTTCAGCTCTTGAATTAGGGGTGTCGGATTAGCGTTAAGTTAAAAATAATGCTAACGCAAAAGCATTAGCATTAACAGTTAACGCTAATGCTTTAGCGTTAATGGCGTTAGCGTTAATTAATGCTTAGGCGTTAGCGTTAATTTAGCATTATTTTTAATGCTAATGCATATACGCAATGTCAATTCTAGACTGCTACCTCTCATACTACCTTCAACTTTTTTAAGGGCTATCAGAGGATACTCTTTGTAACTTTTCAAAGGCTATCAAGGGGTACCCTTTGTAACTTTTCAAGGGCTACCATGGCGCACCCTAGGTAACTTTTCGAGGACTATCAAGGGGTACCCTTCGTAACTTTTCAAGGACTATCAGGAGGTACCCTTGATAACTTTTCAAGAGCTACCATGACGCACCCTAGGTAACTTTTCGAGGGCTAGTATGGCGCACCCTAGGTAACTTTTCAAGGGCTACCTAGGGAAACCCTTTATAACTTTTCAAGGGCTACCATGGGGTACTGTTGGTAACGTTTCAAGGGCTACCTAGGGTACTCTTGATAACTCTTCAAGAGCTATCTGGAGATACTCTTTGTAACTTTTCAAGGGCTACTAGGGCACTCTTTGTAACTTTTCAAGGGCTGCCTAGGGCTACTCTTGATAACTTTTCAAGGGCTACCATGGGATACTCTTTGTAACTTTTCAAGAGCTACTAGGGGATGCTCCTTGTAACTTTTCAAGGACTATTCGAAAATACTCTCTGTAGCTTTTCAAGAGCTACCAATGCATGCTCTTTGTAATTTTTCAAGGGTACCTGGACATGGTATCTGCTATCAGTTCGAAGTTAAGAAGACATTATATGTGTTTGTCGGTAGTAATTTAATATGCTACAAATGATCCTGTTGTTGATTCAGATTCTTTGAATAAATGGTCGCTCATATGAACTATGAAGAACTCCGGAAATGTCTTGTAGAGCACTTCATTGTTTTTTAGATGATAAACGTTTGATAGACCTCAGCTGCGTACATCAACTAGCGTTGATGAGAAGGCTAGCTGTATCTAGTCATTGAAATTTTAATAATATTAACAGAATGTCTAAAACATATGTAAAAAGGACTAGATAAGATTTTATTTAGGTTTCAAAAACATCTGCAGACTTATTTGTAACGTGCCAAAGGGAAGACTTCCATTTTTTGCTAGTTTTTTCTCGGCTATAGGTGTAAGGCGTGGCAAAAATGTCATAGAAGGACAATTAAGTTGTTTCAGGCCGAAGTCATGGAATCGTTGATCAGATCCCTAAAGTATCGAAGAATGTTGCGAAGTAGGCATGCAATAGGATTCGATTCTCGGATATTATTAATATCGTTTACTTGCCAGCAATTTCCCAGTGTTGGATACCATCAGACTCCTTCTTCATGATCTGATGGTATCTATCAATGGAGCCTTGTCAGAGGCGATGAAATCCAATTGTATATAACTATTCGATATTGTCTTTTGTGATTATTAGATGACATGTGTAAGGCTGACACTTTATCTTTATTTTACTTTGAAAAAGTAAAGTAAAGTACGTAACTTTACTTTATCCCTCAGAGTAAAGTATATATACTTTATCCGACAAGTAAAGTAAAGCGGATCTAAATACTTACAATTTAGTATTGATTTTGTAGTCTAACATCATACTTTGATAATGGCGTAACACCATTGCCAGCGTACGATATTGTGCTAGAAAATTAGCAATTAATTATAAGTGTTGTAGTTCATTTTACTTTACTTTACTTTATTTTACTTTTTGGGAACAGTATATATACTTTGCTCTGCTTTACCGGTAAAGTAAAGTTAGCTAATTGGCTTTACTTGCTCAAACAAATATAAAGTGCCACTCCTAGACGTGCGACATGTATTTGAAATACTTTTTAAGATGATGGGAAGCTGTTTCCCAGTAATATAGGTAGCCAATTGATGGTCCTAAACGACTGTGAACGGCCAGAAAGAGAGCTATACGATTGAATGAAGAGAAAAGATGTTGTTTTTAATATTCGCCGCATGTTATATATGGATTTTAAGAACTCATAGGCTTTAGTTTAACTGATTGCATCACCTGGTTTTCAGTAAATTTTACGTGTTGTTGTCCTAATGGTACAATATATTCATTTGTATGCCATTCAATCGTCTCTTCATGAACCCGATCAGGAAACATGTTATTTCAAATACGACAATTCTTTATGAAATATTGTGTATGATACTTGAGTGGTTCTCAAAAAATGAATACTGTTATAAGGTTAGTGTAGCAGCTGAAAATTTGCAAAAAAGGTACTCCTGATGGTCCATAAAAAGTTACTGAGGGTAACCCCAGATAGCTCTTGAAAAGTTACCAAGGGTACCCTCAGATAGCCCTTGGAAAGTTACCAAGAGCACCCATACGTAGCCCTTGAAAAGTTACAAAGAGTACCTATAGGAAGCCCTTGAAAAGTTACCAAGCATACCCCCAGAAAGCCCTTGAAAAGTTACCAAGGGTACTCCCAGATAGCCCTTGGAAAGTTGCCAAGGGTACCCATACGTAGCCCTTGAAAAGCTACAAAGAGTACCTA